ATTATTTAATTTTTAGTCTTATTGCAGCATTCCTACTTTGGTGGTAATTGAAGCAGAATGCTTGAATATCAGTCCGTCACCTTAAACAGATGGCCAACTCACATATCCACATTTACTTTATTCTTTATTTGTTTTCATGGGGCCACTTGAACATGTATATAATGGCTGAAGAGAAACAGAAGTGAGTAACTAGATTGTGCTTAAAATAGTCTATGGCAGAATACCTCCGTGACATAAGGCCAGTAAGTCTGTTGCCCTCTTGATGCTAAAATATTTCTACTTTGCTGTGGGCGTTACTATGTCATCGTTGTTTAGTTCATTCCAATAAAATGCTTTAATCCTGTTTTTCAAACTTGTGTGCCTAAGAATCGCCTGGTCAAGATGTTAAAAATGCAGACTCCCAAATCCTCCCTAAAGAATCTAATTGGCCTGCATTTTTAACAAGCATGACAGATATAAATCTGATGAAGATCTTCTAGTGGACTACATTTTGAGGAACACTGCTTTAAATTCATCAGAGTCCCTGAGTGGTGTAAACAGTTAAGTGCTTGGATACTAATGAAGAGGCTGGCAGTTCAAATCCACCCAGAGGTGCCTTGGAAGAAAGACCTAGTGATCGACTTTAGAAAGATCGCAGCCTTTGAAAACCTTGTGGAGCACAGTTCTACTCTGACACATATGGAGTTGCACGTGTTTTGACTTCAACTGACTTGACTGTGACTGGCTTGGCTTGGCTTTAAGTTCACAGTGATGGTATCGTAGCTATTCAGAATGGTGATACTTTGGCTGCAGATTAGAGTGGATTTTTTCTTAATGAGATTTTTTGTTGTTTATTACAATAATTGACACAGGTATGGTTTATCTTATTTCAGGCAAAGGGCTTAAGTTGTCACTGAGCAAAGTGGATATGGGAAAAAGTAAATGGAGAATATTTAAAAGAAAACTAACAGTTTAGAAGCTGCCATAAACTCATATCATGAATCACGTAATATTTTACCCTGACAAGGCCAAAATGACGGATAGACTTGTTATTACTTTAGGCAGGCGCTCCTTAAACTTCTAAAGTTTATGAGTGAGTTTTGTAACGCTGGAATTCGGGAGCTATTTCTGGTACATGTAGTTTCATGTCATCTTTATGGGAGCAAAAAAGATCTGTATCCCACACCCCCAACATTTTTGTTTGTCAAGATTTAGATAAAAGGATGAAATGTAAGAGAGTTTCTGCCCACACATTACATCTTTGCTTCACTAACTGTTTGGCTGGAAATAATCAAGCTGAAGCTGAGTCAGTGACTGAACACCCAATTTCCCTATAGGCACGACTTCACAAAACCGTAGGATAAGTGCTTAGGAGAAACAAAACAAAACAAAACATTTCTTTTCTTACATTTGACTCCTTTTTCTTAATGCATTTTTGGGAGCTTCTTTAAAGCATTGGGCTAAACTTTTGCTGTCAAAATAAACAGGTATTTTCCATTTCCAAAGCTTTCAGTTATGTCTGCTACCGTGCCAATAGAAGTTATAGCTGATGCGGGAAAAAAGAAAAATGAGCCAAGATATGTAATTGTCGTATTCCATTTTTAAACTGGTCTCTTAAGACTTTTCATCCTGTAGAGTCCACCACTGCTACAGATGTTTCTTAACTTGTAAAGATTAGCAATGGTGCAGATTGCAATATCAAAGTTTGCAGCCATCTGTGGTTTTCCACTGTCCATCACCCTTTGACATCTTAACTCTGAAGTCTTGCTGAAGACACAAGGGGATAAACTGGAGGAACTGACAGTCTTGACAATCATTTTAGAATAATGACTTACTTAAAATAACAATAATGAGAATCCAAAGTGGCAGCTATTGAACTGCATTCCATTACAAAAATGCCTGTTAGTATTTTGACATCTAAACCTCGTGTTGTTCACTTGTTTGTATGATTTTTCTTTATCATTTTGTCAGGGGTGGAATTGGTTAAAGCATATGACCCATTGGGAGTCTAAAAAGGCTGATAAAATGGATATATTTCTGACGGAGTCATGCCACTTCAACTTGCTACTTTCTTTTCCTGTTTCCTCTCAAAGAACTTTCTGCTTTGACTCAAGAAGATTCCTCTTCCTCCAAGATTCAAATGAAGCTCAAGCCTCAAAAGACAACTTGCCCACCTATGATTTTACCTTATTCATATGTAATAATCTAGGTGACTGAGCTGCTAGTCTTTGGTGTTGTGTATGCTTGTTTCCCATTTACCCTTGCTTCTAAAATTAGGCTATTAGCATTGACTCACTTCCATAATTCAAATCTGCTGTTTAGGGTTTGGCTACCTATCGAAGCCAGACTGCCTCTTGACGGGTCATTCCTGGCATATAGTACTCACTCCCATATTTGCTAAACGAATGAATGATGTTTACCATCTGCATGCCTCTTCTTCCCACACATTTTTTTTTTTCTAGGTTTGCTGTTTATTAAATACTTCTGAGACACAGATCTAAGACAGCAAACATAAACATGAGAATTGGCTATCATGAGAAAAGACTGGCCCTATGGGCTAATGAAGGTCAATATTTTTTTTACATTTAATTTGAAGTGTCAGTTGACTATTCTCCTTAAAATCAAATTTTGCTTCTACTAAAATGATGAAAATATATTTTTCTTTATAACGTTCTACCACCTGCTACTGTAAACATGCAATTTACTTCTGATTTGCAAACCTGAGCACTGGTGTCATGGCAGAGATATGGGTAAGGAAAAAGAGCAATCATCTGGTGGTTGAGGATGTGGATAGGGTCACCTCATAGCACATCCCTCTCTTCTTCAACCCATATCCCTTAATCCCTTTATCATCCTTCTGTTCCGACTCTTTGTTTTCTAGTTTGGCTTCCATGGCCCTGTTGAAAGATACAAGCATTGAGTTAGACGTTGCAATATCAACTTAATTCCTTTTTAAAGTATGACCAGATGACCTACATCAGTATCAGCGAGAATATTTGCTTAAAATCCCTTCAAGACCAGCGGGATATATATATATATATTTTTTCATTGATTTCAGCATGGCTTCCATTACTGAAAACATATGGTTTCAACAAAAATTCAAAACAAAAAAATTGGGTCATGAAAGGGTGAAAAACGAAGATTCCCTAGTCCTGTTATAAAACCTGTTGCCATCAAGTAGATTCTGAGTCATAGCAACCCTACAGGACATAGTAGAACTGCCCCATAGGGTCTACTGATTATGCTTTTAGGGGAGTGGGGGCCAGCGGTATGTGTTTTTATCAAGAGCCGTAGGCTTTTCTGTTACACCCTAACTTCTGAGACTTAAGTGCCGTTGACCAAAATGCATAAGCTCCAAGCCAGAAAATTCAATAAAAGAGAATCCTAGATGTTGATACCTCATTTGTAGATGCTTTACAGTAAAAAGCACACTTTTAAAAAAATCTGATGACCACATAGAAGAACTATGAGCAGTGTGTAAAAAGTAAAGGAAGAACATTGATAATTCACTTGATGATCACAACTGTTGTTGAAGGACAGGGTATGTCTAAAAACAGTTTTCTTTGAAAAGCAATCATTTCTGATGTTATTATTTTTTTTATTTTCCTTTGCTTTCATTTTTTAAATCTGTTTGTCTGTGTGAACCTCTGCACCACTCTCTCTCCTTTCCTCCCTCCCACCTTCTCCTCCTCTCTGTCTCCCTCTCTCTCCTTTTCCAAATCTCACAGTCCAGCCCCTTTCCATGGCAATACATACTTTGTCATCTCATCTTTATTACTTAGAAGCATGATGTCATTAAGAGTATGATTGTTTCAGTCAGACAACCTAGGTTCTAGATTTTGCTGTGATGCTTACTAGCTGTGTGATCTTGGAAAGTTTACTTAACATCTCTGAGTTTCTGTTGCCTCAAACACTAAAATAAAATACTTGCCTCACAGTGCTGTTGTGAGATTTAAATGAGACTAATGTGTATAAAGTGTTTAACACAGATCCTGGCAGTCAGTTGTTGCAGTTATTAATTACATTGGACCATGGGAAAGGGTGAGTTAAAGAGAAAATTCAAGTCCTTATGTCAGGAGACCCTAAATATGGTGATAGTTGCTCTCTGTTGCTAGGTTCTGAAAATATAAAGAGGAGCGAGGCTCAGTCCTTGATCTCAAGTTGTTCACGATCATGTAGGAAAAGAGAGATGCATAATTTCGTCCATAAAATATAGTGTATGCAATGCTGTAAGAAGGTAAAGGATTTAAGGGAACCACAAAAGAGGGAATGATCAATTTTTCTACTGCTTGGAGTCAGTCACTTTGTTGTTAAAAACATAAATAGTGGGAGGAAATTTAAATATTTCCTCTATTCACTATTGTTTCTGTTTAAAGTGGCACATATATGATGATCTGACTCAAGCACATCTTTATGTGAAACAGAAAAAGCTATTACTTTCTTGACACACCTCACTTCCATCGGATTAAATACTGCTGTAATAAATATCAAAATATGTTTGATTACTAACATGAATGCCAACCCTTAGAGTTGTTCAGTGCACAACCTGTGCAACCATACAAGGAAACTCTATAACAAACAATATTCATGCCGTAATGACTTCATCATTTATCTGGTAAATAAAAGAAGCAGGATAATGTTTCTAATCTAGACAAGCATCATGATCTTGAACCCAAGGTCTTGTCACCATCATCAACCTAGGGTGAAGGCCATGTTGTAGTTATTTGGGTGAGAAATTGTCATGATTGTCTTGATGCTGGATTGAACTGTTTAATGCAATAAATATGTCCTCTATGGTGGATGGAGAAATTCTGAGTAAATCATCCAAAAAATGATTCCCTCTCACAGAACTAAAGGGAAGGGGCATAATAGGCAAAGCGTAGATAGTCTACAATGATCTTGTATTATCTGTTATATTTTCTACTAGACATTTTAAATACATTACTGCAGGCATTTAATGAAAAGAGAAAGAGCTATGAACCACATTACGCTTCCTTCTCACTTGTTTTTACTTTCTATAGTTGACACTCCAGATCCATATGTGGAACTTTTCATCTCTACCACTCCTGACAGCAGGAAAAGAACAAGACACTTCAATAATGACATAAATCCCGTGTGGAATGAGACCTTTGAATTTATTTTGGATCCTAATCAGGACAATGTTTTGGAGGTATGTGAATTATTTGGGGACTATTTGATAGTTGAAATTCATGTTGAAAGAGATGCTTATTTTTGTTCCCTGACTGCCTGCTTCTTCCCAAGTTAGGTGTAATTGACATCCAGCTAGGCAGCACAGTAGACTAGCTTCTAGATGGTGCCCATTAAGTAAAATATGTGTTCAGTGGGAAATGCAGGCTTTAGGTGGGGCTGGGAAGATTCTTCTGTGTTCTCCTTGTGCTTTGGAGAAAATGTATTTTCTATTATAAAAAGGGGAATCTGTGTGAAAGAAAATAAAATTTTTGTCAATTGCCTTTTAAACAAGTTGAAATAGATTTTTCCAAAATAGATGTATTAATTTTATACATGAATTTTCTCCTCATATTCCAAAATAACATTTCCTCTGGAAAGGTTTAAAATTACTTTTTTTTTTGACATTGACTACGCTGTTTGAATTGTGCTGTTATTCTCACTTAAGATGAAGGCTTACAGAACAAAATAGTTTCTCATTTAACAGTTACTACAGATTAACGTTACATTTTTGAAAACATGATAATCAATAGGTCAATCAGGAAATTAAAAAAATGATAATTATTATTTTAGTAACAAATACATTATTAAGAAGGAAAAGACAGATGCATTGTTACCTGTTGAATATTGAGGATCTGAACTGAGAGTTCAATATTATTTGATAATTTTTATTTTTTAAATGTGACAGAGACTTTAGATGTGATTTCCAGAGATTCACAGGAAATGTTATACTTGTGCTCTGTCTACCCTTTACTATCTATAGATCACATTAATGGATGCCAATTATGTTATGGATGAAACTCTAGGGACAGCAACATTTCCTATATCTTCTATGAAAGTTGGAGAGAAGAAGGAAGTACCCTTTATTTTCAACCAAGTGAGTGACACAATTAATTTTTTTTTAAACTTATGTCACGTAAAAATCTGTGCATTCTTGAAAGTTGGGTTTAATGCTTGAAAAATTGTTTTCTGTCATTGGTGGTGGTGGTGGTGATGGCGGTGTTTGTATTTATTTGTTTGTTTTTAAAGAGAACGTTTTGTGTTTTAAAGAGAAAATTTTGTCTTCCATTTCACTTCTTGTTCTCATCTTTTTTTATTCTGAGATCTATAAACTGTGGTTGAGTTGTCACAATAAATACAACAGAGACTCCCATTTCTTTTGTTGCTGTGCATTACAACATTGGTATTAATCAATGACTTTGGACCCCATTGGTGGACCTATTGCAGAACTTTCAGGAGGATGGGGAAGATGTAAAATCTAAGAGGAATGGCAGAGAGGACAAAAAATCACTGTGAGAGCTCAAAGAAAACCGCTGGGAAATCCAAAGTATCCCCAGATTATATGTTGTTAATAAATTAAGCCCCTGTGGAGGAATATTTTTGTTTTAAATACCCCTGAAATAATTAGAGCTGAAGCAGTGAAGGATTGGTAGGAATCGTCCTTAGGTTATTGCCATCTTTCTATTTCTAGGCTTGATTTCCTGACTTTGTTGCATGTCCGAAGTTTTGATAGCTTATTTTGCAGTGATAAAACCCTAGGAAAATCAGTTATAGAGAACAAATTGATTGGACTTTAAATTTTTTAAGAAGTTAATTTAGTAGTTTACAGTGAGAAATGTAAACAACTGGTAGGCCAGTGTCCAGAAAGGTGGTTAATGAGTTTCTTTCTCCTTGATGGTAAGAACTCTGTGCTGTTGCTTATTTTGGGGATAACTTTTTGAATTCCGACACTCAGGAAAACCTTACCTATCCCTGAATTCTCATCTCCATGTAACTTTTCCTAACCTTTACCATCTCAAATGACCTCTCTTCCTTTGTACTCCCATAATACTTATCTGTGGTATTCACTGGGGCCAAATCATTTATACTGTTCTAATTTTCATCTCCTTCCCATAAACTAAAATCCTACAGGTCAGAAAACCTGAAGTACTGAGTTGACAGGCCTAGTTACAAAATTAATACAGAACTTATATTTATTGAATGGCCGTAGACCTGTTTTAGAAACTAACTTAAGCCCAAAGCAGTTGTTGGCCAGATCATGCAGTCAGAGTGAGCCATGTGCCTTGAGGACACTCCAGTACATGTGCTCCATGCTGGTCCCTTCAGCTGCTCCAGGAAGCATGTCCTGTATCCAGTGTCAAGAAACACATTGCCCACGTTTCTGTTGACCCCTTTTTAAGCTGTTTCATTCATTGCTTCTACAAACACTTGCTGAAGATCTACTATGTATCAGTAATTATGTTTTGTGCAAGGAATATAAGAAGAATAAGGTACACGAAACTCTTCCCTTAATAATTTCCATCTCGGATGGAGGTGAGGTAGGAGTTCGAATGGGAAGTGGAATTAGGGTAACACATATATGTGATGAAATAAGATTGTCACACTGTGAGATAAGTATCAGTGAGGGATGTGTAGAGTGCAGTGGAAACACGGGATAAAAATACTGTGCTGGCGGAGGATGCGAAGGATGGCTCCATATCAGCAGATGATTTTGAAGAGATTGAAAAGTGAACATAGTGGTTGACACCTTCACGTTTGAAGCCAGGCAGTTTGTGTTTAAATCCTGCCTCTCTGCCCCTTATTATTTGTTTCATTCTGGGAAAATCACTTAACTCCTCTGTGCCTCAGTTTACTCATTTGTAAAATGGAGATAATATCTCATAGGGGAGTCTATACCAAACCCAACCCACTGCTGTCCAGTTGATTCCGACTCATAGCGACTCTATGGGACAGAGTAGAACTGCCCGATAGGGTTTCCAAAGCTGTAAACCTTTACGGAAGCAGACTCCTCCCATAAAGATTCCAAATCAAACTAAACCCACTGCCGTGGAGTCGATTCCACCTTATAGCAACCCTATAAGACAGATTAAAATTTGCCCCAGAGGGTTTCTAAGGCTGTAAATCTTTACAGAAGTGGACTACCACATCTTTCTCCCTCGGAGCAGCTGGTGGGTTTGAACCGCCAACCTTCCAGTTAGCAGCTCAGTGCTTTAACCACTGTGCCACCAGGGTTCCTATATAAAAATAATGTATATTTACATATAATATATTGTCTATAACTATATTGTAAATAAATATTTTAATATAATTGTTTAATTATAATTAGATATAATTTATTATATAAATTATAAAATTACTTAAATACTTTATATATGTATATAAGTATTATATATAATATACTAATACTATACACACATTAACATATGTATACATATGCACACATACATATAGTGCTGAGAACAATGCCTGGTACATATTAAGCACTTTATATGTGTTTGTTGTTGCTGCTGTTGTCATTATTGTTGCTGCTATTATTACACCTTGAGAAAAGAGTAGGATTTCAGCAGGCAGAGAAGCAGTTATGAGCATTCTAGGCAGAAGAAATTACAAAAGTATGGAGTTTTGAAAGAGAAAAGCAAGTTGGGATACCACACATCAAACAGGTTGGCAGGTACATTTTGCAGCAATACTTATTACTTATAGGATAGGTTCTCCATAACTGTTTGTTGAGGACTTTGTAAGCATGGATTGACTTTTTCAAAGTGTAATGTTTTTCCGCTCCTTAGTCTATGATATAAGGCTGATTATTAGAGAAGATACTGTAGGAAAAACACATTTCCTCTCCTCCTGTCATTTCCTGTGGTTAAGTGTATAACCCGAGGGCTCTCAAAAAGACTTCACATTCCTGAATTTAAAGCAGCTTACATAATTATTTTCTTTAGCGTACCTGAGAAAACAGTTGGCCAAACAGCTTTCCTTCATTACTCTGTTCTACAGAGTCCTTTGCAGTTTTCATCTGAATGACACTCCTTTGAATTAGTGAACCTTGGCGGTAGTGAGGAGAGAGATTTAGTGATGGCACAGAGGAAAGTTCCCTGGGCAAGCCATCCAGTCTCCCCTGATCTCAGTCCTCCTTTCAAGGGAAGAGGACCATCTTCTGTCTGCAGCCTTTACAGGGACTATAAGAAAGAACAGACGGGTGAGGGAATAATGTGGGAGAAGAGTCTTTTAAACAAACCTTGAAGATGGCTGTGGCAATCTGGTATACTAAAAAGGGCACTTTTATTTGGCAAAAGCAGAACACATGATTCAAGCCAAGATGTGACTGGGCAACAACTCCTTCAAGATTTGGTCTTCCAAAAGTTAATACCTAGTCAATTTAGAGTGATTTCTGTGGCCGGGAAACATCCGGAGAAAGAAAAACAAAAAAAACCCCGCTGCCGATGAATTGATTCCGACTCATAGTGACCCTATAAGATGGAGTAGAATCGCCCCATAGGATTTTCAAGAGCAGCTGGTGCATTTGAACTGCTGACCTTTTGCTTAGCAGCTGAACTCTTAACCACTGTGCCACGAGGGAATAGTGCCGATAATATATTCAATGAGAATTACAAGAAGAAGGTATTTATTTATTCATTCATTTTAAACAAATAACCTTTGAGTACCTACTATGTGGCAGAAACATCTTCAGGCACTGTCTACTCAGCAATGAACAAAACAAACAAGAATCACTGTCTTCTATATTCTACTATATAAGATAGACAAGAAAAGATAAATAAGTAAAAGATATTTTTCTTAGTTGGTAATAGCCAGTAATAACCAAATAAACCAAACTAAATCAATTGTGACCCCATGTTTGTCAGAGTAGAACTGTGCTCCATAGGGTTTTCAATGGCTGATTTAGGAAGTAGATCACCAGGCCCTTCTTCTGTTGTGCTTCTGGGTGGACTCGAACTGCCAACACTTTGGTTAACAGCCAAATGTGTTAACCGTTTACACCACCTAGGGACTCCAGTTAGTGATACGTGCTAAGTAAACCAGGGAAGAAGGGTGGGTGGCCACATGGAGGTGTGTGGAGGGTGTCAAACACAGTTCTAAAAATGTGGCTAAGAAAAGCATGTCTGAGGTTACTAAGGGCAGAAGGTACTGGGAGTAGGAAGGTCCTAAAGCTGGAGAGTGCCTGGTATGTTGAGTAACAGCAAGGAGGGAAGTGTGGCTGGAACACAGAGAAAAAGTAGTAGGGAGAGTCGTGGGAGATGAAATCAGAGTGATAAGGCAGGGGATGAATGGAGGGAATGGGAAGCGTGGAGATCATTGTGTGTGGGTTCTAGTAGAAAACAATGGCTTAAGGTAATCCTTAAAGCAAGGGTACGATTTGGTCACTAAATAGCAAAGGCAGTCCTGGCCAAAAGAACAGCTTGAGCAAAGGCATAGCATATTCAGGAAATAGTGTCTAGACGAGTCTGATGGGAGCAGAGCATTCATACGTGAAGGAAGGCAGGTACATTGAGATCAGACCACAACAGCCCTTAAATACAAGATTTAGGAATTTGTATATAATCTTACCGACAACAGTGAGTCATGGAAGGTTTTTGACCACGCAGTGGGGAATTTAGATGAAACAGGGTTTGGCTTTTTCCTGAAAAGAATGAGCAAGCAAAAAGTTAGTGGGTAAAGATGCAGAGAAAAGATGGTATTGAAAATAAAAATGAGATTGATGCTGCTTACCGCAGATGGCTTCTGTGGAAAATGACTAGATTGGCGAGAACAGGGTGACTCGAGTAGAAGTGTGGAGACAGCTTTAATGTGTCAATAAGCATTAAATGAAATGATGGTTTAGCAGCAGTGAGGATTAACTAGTGTTGGAGAGCATGAATTTGCAGTAGCTCCTTACTCTTCCTTAGACTATGTTTCTCGCTCAATTTTAGGACAGATAAATTTTTTTCGAGGAGAAAGGCAATGCTAGGGCCGGGTCTGCAGTGTTTATTTTCCAGCTGGCGTTTATAAAATCAGGGTTATGTTGTGTCCTTTGGAGTCATCTTTTTAGAGAACATCAGAGTTGTCATTTGACAGAAATTGGCACAACCTGCTGGTTCTGACCCCAGGCTCACAGGCAGACTGCCACAGCCTGGGTTCCAACCATAATTCCTACTACTTGCTAACTGTATGACGCTGAACAAGTTATTTACTCTCTTTTTGCCGTACATCTTCATCAGTAAAACTTGTTTTTGCGTATTACCTGCCTCTTAAAAAATACGTGGAACGAATACATGGAAAGTGTTTGAGCACTGCCTGGCCCAGTAAGCACTAAGTAAATATTACATATCCTCATAATTACGACTGACCAGAGTTAACTAAACATTTGTTATGCTTCATGAAACAGATTTCACTATCAAAGTTGCTTTTTTGCTTGAACGGATTGATCAAAAATGAACTGTTGTTTAACTATGGTAGAGCCTATCCATTTATTGATGATTTGTGTCAGTTTAGAAATGTTCTAGTTATCCATCCCTGCATATATCAAGTGTGGCCTTGTGCTACAGTAGCCCATTTAAAAAAATGATTGCAGTAAAATGTATATAACAGAACATTTACCGTTCCAACCATTTCTTTGCGTACAGTTCAGTGACATGTTTGCAGTGTTGTGCAACCCTCACCACTATTAGTTTCCAATTTTTTTCATCATGCTTAACAGAAACTCAGTGCCCCTTAACCAGTGCCTCCTCATTTCTCCCTCCCAACTGCCCCTATTAGGAAAAAAAAAAACACATGGGGCATGAGTAGAGCTGTACTCTGAGTAAAACTGTGCTCCACAGGGTTTTTAATGACTGATTTTTTGGACGTAGATTGCCAGGCCTTTCTTCCAAGGCACGTTTTGGTTAGCAGCCAAGCACATTAACCATTTGCGCCACCCAGGGACTTCCACTTGCCTCTGGTAACTGCTAATAAACATTTTTTTCCTCTATGAATTTGCCTATTCTAGATATTTTATGAAAGTGGGATCACATAATATTTGTCTTTTGTGTCTGCATAATGTTTTCACGGTTCTTCCATGTTGTAGCATGTGTCAGAACTTCATCTCTCTTTATGGCTGAATAATATTCCTTCGTAGGTATATTTCACCTTTTGTTTACTTATTCAGCTGTTGATGCATGCTTGAGGTGTTGCCACCTTTTGGCTATTGTGAATGCTGCAATGAATGTGGATGTACAAGTATCTGTTTGAGTTCTCGCTTCCAAGTCTTTTGGGTATAGACCTACGAGTAGAATTGGTGGCCATTTTAAAGTGTAATGATATAGTGTCTTCAGAATTTAGTGTGTTTTGAGTAAACAAAGTAGCCCACTTCAAGAGAACCATGTAAATGCTTAGGTTTTGAAGTGAAGTGGAGAAAGATTATGCTTGCTCTTGCTTTCTCTGGATGAAATTAGTTTATGTTGGTGATTACTTTGAGGGAGGTCATTGCTAAGTTTATAGTGCACGAGTGTTTTAATTTACCATTTTTTTTTTAGAAGTTAATGTTATTGTTAAAAATAGTGTGTCGTGGCTTTTTTGTTATCTGTCTAATTTTGGCTGATTGCTTTCTTTGATTGCTGCTCATTCATAATTCATACTTGAAAATGAATGAGGTAGGTAGTCCTATAGAAGAGGTAGTGGCAAAGTTTTAAAAAAAATTGGAGTTTCGGTGGTGAGTTCAATATGCTAAGTTATAATCAGGATGATTGAAGTGGTAATATATGTATTTATCTGAGAAGACAAAGACTACAATTCGGGTAAGTTCATGAAATGAAATGAGGTTTGGAGGGAAAACAAGACCACTGGATAATTTTGTGAGAAAAGCAGGAACTCTGGCAAGGTTGTGACTGCATCATAACTGACGCAGGGCAGAGTTCATACTTGGGTCAAGTAATTTCTGGCTTGAAGAGTGAATTCATTTTTATTTTCCGATGCTAGCAAGCGACATTAAGTGAGTCTTTTTTTTTTTTTGGTTATTCTACAGTCTATAACTTTTAAATTACAGGGCATTTTAGAATGCTCTTGTATCCTTGGGATACTTCATTTGGTGGTAAGTACCACCAACATGTTTAACTTATTTACCACTGCATACCCAGCCTGGCACACGTTAGGGACTTCAGTCATTTTTGGATGAACGAATAAATAAAGGCACTCATGGGAAATGCTGAAAGCCTGGGAAGAGCCCAGACAGGTGTCGTGAAAGTAAATGAGGTTTAGAAGAAAGAAACCAGAGAGTCTGAGTGCTTCCCATTGGAAGAAAAAGAGACACTAGAGGGATTTGGCAGCAGTGCTCTAGGAAATCTGTTTCATTGCGTGAAAGCTAATGGTTAACCAGTCTGCCAGAATTTCCGCTGAAGTCCTCATAAGGACAAGGAAACTTAAGAAAAATGAGCTTAAGTCAAATGGAAAGGGAAACTGTGTTTGATAGAGTGGAACATTGTTATAGGGCAAATTTTATCTTTCAGATCTTTTAAGACTGGGTTTTTTTGGGAGGGGAGGAGCACAATTAAGGTGACTTCTTGGGTGATTGATTAGAAAAATTCCAGTGGTAAATACTATTTTTTGTTTTACTAGGAATCATCTATTTTTTTAAAATGATTTCAACAGCATCTCATTCAATTTTAAATGCACAAAATTTATTTAACTGTGACATAGCTTGTGTTGGCAGGGATGTAATTTCCCCTATACACTTGAGTTGCTTCGTTGCCAGATCCACACCGTGTTCCTGCTTGGTAGGATGAAGCTGTAGTGTATGGAAACATTCTGAGTAAAAACAACGCTTATTTGTAATATACCATGTTATTTATTATCTTGCACAGATGATGTGAACACAAACCAGGAAGCATTATGTAATTCTCTTAAAATATGTAAAAGATCATTGACTCAAAGATGGCGATTAGTTTGCTCTACTGAGAAAAAGAAAAAGTTGAATCAGGAGGGATCAGAATTCAAAGTCATGTTTTATTGAAAGTGAAGGTGGTAAAGATTGGGATGTATTAACAAAGGCCTAGCATACTTTAAGAGCTCTTTGCTACTAGGACAAATCCTCAAGTTTAAAATAATGTGACCACGTACATCTTTTTGTAATCGTGAGTTTAAGGAACCTCCTAATGCCAGGCACTAGGTTTTTTGCTCTAGCTTCATTATTGCAAAACAACCCTGAAAAGTTTATAAGAGAGTGAGTCGGTTAGATACTTTTAAGCTATCTTTAAGTTCGAAGGCTTTTCTTGATAGCTTCTCTCCCCTACTTTTTTCCCCACTGAACAGTTCCCATTGCAAGCATCTCAAATTGTTTTCCTCTGGGCAATTCAAAGAAGAGATTGTTGTTTTCCACAAGAATGTACAATGGGTACAGCCTGCCTCTTACATTTGTAATTCCTGCAAGAGGTGGAGTTCTTCTAATGTGTTCTGGCTCCTAGTTAAATATTGTGGGGTTGGGGAAAACTGGGGAAATTTGCTCATCCTTCCTTCTAATTGCCTTGGTAATATAAGCAAGGTGGAAGCTGGCAATACAGAGATGCTTTATGCAGTGCGTGGGAAGGAGTTTACAGTAATTATTTAATTCCTCACAGGAAGTACATATTTTCATGGCTATTTTATCTGAATGACATGTTCTAGGTAAAAGGTGTGGAGAGATTGTGAATGTCAGGTTTCATAGCATGTCTGAACACAGTGCATCAAGCGAGAGGGTTTAGAATTTACTCCTGACTCTGGGTGATCCACTAGGGCCACATATGGAAATGAAGATCTGAGTCCATGTGACAAGAATTAAGGCAACACATTATGTAATACTCAAAATCACAGACAATCCCATGTCTTCTCCTCTCTCCTCTTTGCCTTTATTTAAAGAATTGTATTAGTTTGCTAGGATCATGAGTATCTTAGTCTAAAATTGTTGATGGATATAGAAGGGATATTCTTAGGGAGAAGACAAACATGACTGTAAACTGTGTGGTTGATTTTCCTTTTATTTATTAAGTTGTCAGGACAAGTAGGCATCGAATATATTCAGGGATTAGATATTTTAATACATAAATCAGTTAGGGACCTGCCAGTTGGGAAGCCAGATTTTTTTGAACACTTTTTGTCATGGAATAGGAAGGACATTTTACCTTTGAATTCTTCCGTTTGTTAGAAAATTCCATACTGAGTAGTATTCTTTTTTAAATATCCATTCACCTGTAATGGCTTTGCCTTCTGGAATAAAAACTTTAAGCTTAATCTCATTTTAATGGCAGATCTCATGTATTTCTTGAACACATGGACCATGTTTGACTCCCCCCCCCCCCAATCCATTGCCATCAAGTTGATTCTAGCTCATAGGGACCCTATATGACAGAGTAGAACCACTCCATAGGGTTTCCAAGGCTGTAAATCTTTATGGAAGCAGACTGCTACATCTTTCTCCCATGGAGCGGTTGGTGGATTTGAAGCACCTACCTTTTGGTTAGAGGCCGAGCACTTAACCACTGTGCCACCAGGGCTCCTTATGTATGACTTCTTGTTGTTAGCTGTTAGGTGCCGTTGAGTTGGTTCCGACTCATAGCGACTCTATGTACAACAGCAGAAAACACTACCTATTCCTGTGCTATCCTCACAATCATTGTTATGCTTGACTCTGCGTGCATTACATAAAACACACATCCTTTTTATGACCTAATCTAACTAATATATCTTTTTTTAGGTCACTGAAATGATTCTGGAAATGTCCCTTGAAGTTTGGTAAGTGCATTTATTTAGCTGAATGGAAAATATTGCAAGTGATCCACTGATTTATTTTGATTTTTAATGAGTATACATTTTATAAATGAAATAATCCACACAGCTTTGAATATATCAAAGTTCATTCATTTAATTTTCTTTAACTATCTCTTCATAGCAGCAAAATAAAAAAAAATCTAATATTCTATGCTTAATTTTCAAGTAGTTGGTTGGTTAAATAATAGCATAAGGGCGCTATCTATTACTGAAATGAATGTAGTTATTTAAGTCTATGTTCTATTATAGATTCAGATAGATTTTCAAAAACATGAAGATGATCATGAACAGGAAACCACAGTAATACTTTTTTATAAAAGGGAATAACTGAAAAATGAGATTGATTTTGTTCACAGTGGTCAGCGGGACTAGAAATGGTAAAGTTCTGGAAGTGGTTTGCCCTTTCAAAGTGGCCTCCAAAACTGGATGTTGGGAAGTCATTTATTGTAAACGGTGAATTTTAGGGTACAAGGCCTAGCTTGGCAATTAGCTGATCTCTGATCTAATGCTGAGTTCAGTAGAGCCCACCCCTCTCAGTCTTTCTCTTTGAACTTCCCTGTTGCAGGTAGTTTTACTAAAGTTACTAATATGCATTTTACACAAACACCACACAAATTAGTTTGCCATTCTCATCTCATGGTTCCACAAATGTGTAATAAATACACACATTGGGTTGAGACATTTCTTTCTCTTATTTTAATGTTGATTTGACTTAGTAAATTATTGGCATAACTTATCACCATCCTTCAATATATCTCAGCAAATATCAAAAGACAGTCTAAGTTATTTTGTTGCATTGTTTTGCATTAAGTTGATTCTTGCTTAAAATTGTTATATTTTGACTTGAGATTAGAAATGAATTTTGTTATTTAACTGACTATGGAAGTAATGCTATTTGTTGTAATGGTAAATGGTCTTCATTGAGGTAATTAGGACCATAGTATGTAAAAAAAAAAGAGCTTTAACAATAGCACTGTTATTACACAGTCTAGAAAATCTCGGTGAAGTATTGTACATATGTCAGGAAACAATTTACTACATATTTATAGTGAACTTTAATCAAACTCTATCTTTGTATGTTAATTTATATCAATTTTAGAATGGGAAAGTTTTTGTAAAAAATTCAACTTTCTATGTAATATCTTCCACTAAATATAATACAAAATTGAGAAAAATTAATTATAAAATTAAAGATATGCATAAGAAAGAAGTAAATAAACCATAATTGCCAAATTTATAGGATTATTCTTAACATTTTAAAAAATTTTCTTCCAGATTTTTTTATTTATTACTGATGTCTTCTAAACATCTATGTTCATTGGACTGTACATATACATATTTTTTAAATCATGCTTTTTATGCTTAATATCAGACAGTGATCATCATGGTATAGTACAAAAAACATGAGTTCCAGAATGAGTTCTGATTTAAATCTACTACTTCCTACTTACGTCAGCATTTAAAAGATTCCTAATCACTTTTTTTTACTCATGTATAAAATAAGAAGAAAAAAAAAGTACCTTATAAGCATAGTTACGCAGGAGCTACAACAACGGGCTCAAACATAGCAACGATTGTGAGGATGGCACCGGACCGGGCAGTGTTTCCTTCCGTTGTACATCGGGTCACTATGAGTGGGAGCCTGACTTGACAGCACCGAACAACAACATAACATAAGCATAGTTACTGTGATGATTAAATGACATGTTCTTTCTAACGAGTGTATACTATAGGGAATTTTCTCACATATACACCACATGTTGATAGCAGTATTGCTTGATACAGTAAAAAAATAAAGTGGAAGCAGCCTCGATATTTATAGATAAATAAATAAATGGTGGAATATTCGTATAGTGCAGACACTCCACAACAGTAAAACTGATTGAATTAGATCTACTTATGAAAACAGATGAATCTCAAAACCAGAATGTTCAATGTAAAAAAAAAAAGTTTGCAGAAGAATGCCTACAGTGTGATATCATTTGTTAAAAATAAATCTGTAAAATGACTATTATTTAGGGACGTAAATATATATTATAAAATTATAAAGAAATAAATTGGAATCATAAAGACCAAGTTTAGGGTAATGGTTACTTTTGTGGGGCAGAAAAGGAAATACAATTGAGGGGAATTCATATAGACAACGGTACAGGTGAGATTTTTATCCCAACCTAATATTTTATAATAAATTATAATAGAAAAAGAATTTAGCCCAAGACTTGACTTAAAAAAGTGCTGATTCACTATCCTACTCTTTTCCCTGCTTGTGACATAATCTTCATAATGATCAAATTTAATAATTGCATAACCCAAGGCTTTGATATGCTATAATTTAGTTGTTCCCTTGTTGGATAATCAGATTAAAGGATTCTTTCAAAATTTACAGTTATTTCCCTTAAAGTAGACATTAAAAAATAGAATTACTAGGTCAAAGAGAATGCACGTTTTAATTATTTTTGGTGTTTATTGCCAAATTACTTTTTAAAAGTGTTCTGCAAAATTATACTCCCAAAATGAATGTATGAGAATAACAAGGTTACCTTACCTTTTCCAGCACTGGAAAGTAGTTACTGGAAAAAAAATATATATATATATATTAAATTATTAGTTAATTTACTAATACATCGTTGTTTAAATTTGCAAGTGAAATTAAACATATATTATTATATTTTTCAACATAAATCAGATTTCTTTCTTTGTAAGCTATCTATATTTGTCTTTTGGGAAGTAGTAATTAAGGTATTATTTGTAATGGTCACATGTCACTACAGGGAACATAGCCTAGAGACTTTGCAACATCTTCTCTCTTTTTATGTCTTACAAGAAAGAAATACACTTAACTAACAGAACTGAGATTTACATTTTATTTAGTCTCAAGGGAAGAACTTCTTTTTATGAATGGCAAAGAGATGATATTGTATTCGTGGTATTTTTTGCTTCTACATTTTAGATTTATTCACAATATAGATGCTAGCTTTTAAAAAATTTATTTATTTACTTATTTTTACTATTTTTAAATCCAGTACTGGCATTTAGAGTTCAGCATTAGGACCTGTCTTTTTTTGGAGGTATTGTTTTATGGTGGAAAGTACATCACATTCTTGCAATGGTATCCTGGGCTAGTAACCTAACCTTTCCGAGCCTCATCTTTCTGAAGTGTGAAATTGAACCGTAATATATAATCATATATTGTATAGTAATGTATAATGCTTACCTTACATAGATTTTGTAATGATACATATATAGAGCCTAGTATACTTTCTGGCTTGGTATATGTATTTGAGAAATTGCTGCTGCCCTTATCAGACAGTAAGACTATATAATTGAAGAGTTCTCAAGTCCTCAGTCTTAATTTCATTTGTAGTTGTCTAAAGTTCTACCATTAGAAGTTCCTTTCTTTGTCAGAGGACATCCATTAAAGAAAACAATGTATCAAGGCAATATTCCTGCAAGTAACTTCCTCAGAATACAGGTTCTTTTGGGATGTACGTGTTATGCTGGTGGGGCAGGGATGGTGGAGGGGAAGGTGGGATATCTTGAAGAGGTAAACTTAGGAAATGCTGTACCAAACAAATATAAACAAGTTTCTTTAATGAAGCACTTCTGAAAGTCTTCAATGTAATATACAGTATAAGATACAGCTTTGTGTTTGTTTTTTCTAAAACATCTCATACCCCTTGTTTTCTGAAAATGTGCTATGGAACATGCTGTTGTAAGAGAACTGTAATTCTATACTCCTGTTTTAGGTCTCTTATTAAATGGCTTGAGCGGAGCAGAAAGCATATATTAGTGTAGCTTCTGTGGACTTGAGGGAGGTGGATTGATGACTGAAGTAAAGCAAGGCTACTGGCATCAGCTCGTGACTTTATTTGTTTTATTTAACAGCTCATCCCCAGACCTTCGATTTAGCATGGCTCTGTGTGATCAGGAAAAAACTTTCAGACAACAGAGAAAAGAAAGAATAAAGGAGAACATGAAGAAACTCTTGGGTCCAGAGAATAGTGAAGGCTTGTATCACACCCGTGATGTGAGTTGGGCAATTTTTTCTTATTAAGTGTTATTAAAATCTAACAATAATTTTGCTTGTCTCTAAAAATGTCATCCAGATATGGCAATATTGAGATTGAGCACCATTTCTTCAGTCTTTTAAGGTAAGGTAAGTGGTTTATACATTTTACTTGGATCCACAGTCAACGATCCACAATCATGGAAGCAGCAGTTAAGGAATCAAACAACGTATTGCATTGGGCAAATCTGCTGCAAAAGACTTCTTTAAAGTGTTAAAAAGCAAATATAACACTTTGAGGACTAAAGTGCACCTGACCCAAACCATGGTATTTTCAATTGCCTTATATGCGTGTGAAAGCTGGACGATGAATAAGGAAGACTGAAGAAGAATTGACGCCTTTGAGTTATAGTGTTGACTAAGAATATTGAATATACCATGGACTGCTAGAAGAACGAACAGATCTGTCTTGGAAGAAGTACAGCCACAGTGCTCCTTAGAAGCCAGGATAGCAGGACTTTGTCTCGCTTACTTTGGACATGTTATCAGGAGGGACCAATCTCTGGAGAAGGACATTGTGCTTGGTAAAGTAGAAGACCAGTGAAAAAGAAGAAGACCCACAATAAGATGGACTGACACAGTGGCTGCAATAATGAGCTCAACATAGCAACAATTGTGAGGATGGTGCAGGACCAGGCAGTGTTTCATTCTATTGCGCACAGGGTACTTATGAGTTGGAACCAACTCGATGGCACCTAACAACAACAACAAGTGGTTTATAAAAGGAGTATCTTTGAGACAGGTCATCCCGAACACTGCCCATACTTTGTAATAGTTATCAGATGTTGTTTTTTTAAGGAAGCATGTTGTTGTTTTTGTTAGCTGCTGTCAAGTCAACCCCCAACTCATGGTGACCCCATGTTTTACAGAGTAGAACTGCTCCAGAGGATTTTCTTGGCTGTAATCTTGTTGGAAGGAGTTCACCAGGCCTTTCTTCCATGGATACGTTGGATGTGTTCGAGCTGCCCCAACCTTTAGGTTAGCAGCTGGTCGCAAACCACTAGCACCACCCAGGCTCCTTTAAAGAAGCATGCTTGTGCACAAATAAGGCATATATTTCATTCATAGGAAAGACTTAGTCTCATATATAAGAAGATCATTGAATTAATTTTAATAACGAATAAAACTAAACAACTATGAGAACTATCATTACAGAATAAGAAGAAAATGTTATAAATTTTGATAATAATAATACAATTAACAAAAATAAGTAGATGTGGATAAAACCAAACTTGTTGCCATCGAGTTGATTCTGAGTCATAGCAACCGTATAGGACAGAGTAGAACTGCCCCATAGGGTTTCCAAGAAGCGCCTGGTGGATTCGAACTGCTGACCTTTTTGTTATCAGCTAAGGTCTTTACCACTGCACCACCAGGGTCCAATTCTTCATATTTCATAGGAGGGAATTAAAAAAATCATCCAAAAAGTACCTCTGCATTTTAAAGTTTTTCATAATTCTAATTATATAGAGAGCTTTGAATTAAAGTATTTTTGTGAACAAATATTAAAAGTACAATTCTTATAGTGGTACTTAAACTTCTTTTTTTTCCCTTGAATTCCAGTACTTATTTTTTTAGCAACTTATATTGTGTAATACAAGGAGCCCTGGTGGCACAGTGGTTAAGGACTCGACTGATAACCGAAAAGTCAGTGGTTTGAACCCGCCAGCCCCTCTGCCGGAGAAAGATGTGGCAGTCTGCTTCCATAAAGATTACAGCCTTGGAAATCCTACGGGGCAGTTTTATTCTGTTCTATCAGGTCCCTTTGAGTTGGAATAGACTCGAAGACTATGGGTTTAATTTTTGATTTATTGTATAATACAGTTCTTTACTATTTATCCATCCATTAATCCCTTCATCCATTCATCTACCCATCCATTGGTTGATTTTTCTGAAATCTACAAGGATGAATGGCTGCAGTGATGCCCATGAAATGATAATGACTAAGTTTCTTGTTAGTGGCATATTAAGTCATTTTTTTTACATATTTCTTTGAACTTTTCTGTTCATTGACTATTTTAAATGGACATGATTTATTGTTGGGAAACTTACTTTAATTAAATACACAGGTAAATACAGATGTGTATACACCCGTACATGTATACTCACTCCAGGGATTTGAGTTTATTGCAAATTAAGGGTAAAATACAACTGGAAATGAGACATAAATTTTGAGTAAGGGAGTGAGAGACATCATCAGGAGACCCTGCTCTGCTGCACCAAATCTGAGGTGTGACATGAGAAATCTACGATGTACTCCCAGTTGTAGCTGATTTCTAGATAGCCAGATGCCATTAGAAAAATGGCACCAATAACTAATATGGATTGCTCCATAAACATCACGTCCTTCCAGTCAGCATCTGAACACATGTCAGCACATGGAAAGTAGCTTTTATTACTTATAATAAGAAGCAGACAGTATATAACAGACAAGCAGTACCCCTGGCTCAAAAGATGTCTGAGCAGAGATGATGACTTTTCTATGCACACCCAACTTTGTGTCATGGATGAAGGACTTAAATGGGACAGTCACAGGACATGCCAATCCCCCTGGCTTCCAGAAACTGTCCTGGTGGATAGAACGAACTCTTCCATGCAAGCCCTCTACCTGGCATCGTGGATGAGGGACACAATGGGAGCCTACCTTCTGCCAATCTCCCACTGGCCGGGTAGGTCCACTTAAGTGGGCTATAAGCTTAATGCTATGTGTGCCCCACTGGCACCATAGCTGAAGAGACTCAGAAAACTTCCCCTCCCAGCTATTTTATACCCCAGCCTAAGTGACTAATTGTATCTTTTTAACCCTGCTAACAAACATCTTACTGCACCATACCCCCCTGACTTCCTGAGAGGAAGGTGGTGGTTAGCCCAGAATTCTCTCTTTTTAATCTTACTTACAAACTGAGAAAACCATGGCTGCCTGGCTTGTCCAAAGGATTTACTCCTAACAGGGAGTCAGACGGACACCTGCCTATTCCACATATGACCACAGATTTCCCAGTGTATGTTTGTGTGAGCACAGGCTGGAATGCCAGTCTGCTGATGCTAGAGTGGCTCTTGATGTTGTGGGAGCAAACTCTCAAATGAGATGCTGCTTAGGGGAATTTTTGCTAAAAGGAAGCTAAGGAGAGAAGCGAAACCTACGTTTAAGTTTCTATTTGAAAAAGAGATTCCTCTTCAATCCTGCATCTTGCTGGTCATTATGGCAGATCCCTGAGAGAACTTACGATTGATTATTTTCTCAGGTTAATTAGCTGTTAAAGGCAATTCCTTTTCTACATATTATTCAGAAGTTTCTAGCTTCCCGGAAAGTGGTTCTTTTTTTTTTTTTTTTAATAGTAAAACTTTCAGCAGTAATTCTACAATTTTCCTCTCTTTCTTCCCACTCCTTATTTGGTAGTACAATACTTTGGGAGCAAAGAAATGATATTTCAAGGTTTTTTGTTTTTTTTTTTTAACTGGCTCAGCTGTCATATGTCATTTATTGAGACACTGTGCTAAGTAAGTGCTGAGGATGAGTAAAGCTGCGATGGTTAACACTCAAGTTAACAGTCTTAGTCACACTTCTTGGTGAGTTTAAAGCCTAGTCGGAAAGACATTTATGCAGATAAAACCAATGATGTGTTAAATTCTTAAAAAAAAAAAAAAGATCCGAATTTAGGGATGTAAGAGCTTTGAGGGTAACCCACTCTCTTTCTGGGATAGAGATAACAAGAAAGGGTTGGTACAGTTGAAATTGACAGTATCAGGTCATTAGAGACAACCCTAGGCTGAGGAGAAGGTTTGGATGAGGAGAAGATGCAAGTTTTGGCCTGTTGAATTAGAAATTAAGATGGGACATATGGGAGCAGGTGTCCAGTTGGTCTTTGTTCTTAGATTCTTCTTTTCAAAAGGAAATTGGGGCGTATGGGAGGGAGGGGGAAGGAGGACTCAAAGCTTAGGGGCCACTGAGCTTCTTTTAAGGATGATGGTCTACTTTGGGAAAGGGGAAGGGTGATGGTTGAACAATATGATGAACTTAATTAATATCACTGAACTGTGCATGTAAAGATTGTGAAATGTCAAAAGTTTTGTTACATATGTATTATCACAATAAGAAAAACAAACAAACATACAGAAATTGCTGCTGTAAGTTATAGAGTTCCTAGACGCTCACCCTTTTGTAAAAATGAGTAATAGTAGGTTTTCCTAGGAAATAGAATTTGGCTTAATATTCACTCAAATGATGGTATATTGACTTTTAGACAGCAGATGGGAAATCAGGTAACTTTGGTTTCTCTCTGGGATATCCTTTAAAAAATAGTAAACTCATATATTTGGAAGTCAATTCTAGAATTCAGATTTTTTTATTGTTTTAGTTTTTGTCTAGATTTCCTTTTCTTGGCAAAAACAATGTATTCACCACCACCCATTCCCATAAAAAAATAACGTTTTTCCATTTTTATTTTAATCCTTGGCTAAGGGACTCTTGTGCTCCCACTTCCCTTGCTCCCTGCTAAGATCTTTACTTTCTTTTCAGTACTGGTCTGTTGGCCTCGCTGACGTGTGGAGGAGGGGGCTTTATGGCAGCTGTGCAAAGGAGAATGGTTCCACTCAAGTCTGAATGCAGAGACTGTGCTTGTCTTATTCTCAGACAGATCCCCAGCAAACAGACAGCTACCAGATTAGGGCCTCCATGTTGAATTAAAATGTTGAATGAATTTGGATTGTATGAATCTGTGTACATTGCTTCACCTCAGCTTTGCTTACAAAATGGAGATAATGTTTCTTATTGGGGTGAGAGAGCACGTACTGATGCTAGTAAAGCATTCAGTACAATGTACAGGGCATATACACAGTAAAATAATAAACCAAACAAACAAATCAGTTGCTTTTGAGTCATCTATTCATGGTGACCCCATGTGTCTCAGAGTAGAGCTGTGCTCCATGGGGTTTTCAATGGCTGAATTTTTGGAAGTAGG